AATACAGCCCAAAGCCGTCTCTAATTAGTACCATTCCAGTCTTCAGAAAAATATTTCACAGTGCCAGCCGGCAGCAACTCAGAAAGTGCTCCTCACCTGCCCACCTGCCCAAAACAAATCATTTGCACACAAGGCTCTCAGATTCCATGTCACACTCCTACCCGAATCCCTGCGGTGGCCACCCAGAGCCAGGGACACGATCCCAAAGTCCCTACTTGGCCTTCGAGTCTCTTGAAAACTCAGGTCACAAACCCAAAGGCCTGCAGGGCTGAGCAGGGAATTGACTTCGACTGGACTGAGGCAACAGAGAGAACGGGAACTGGGACGGCTGGGGGCCCCGGGCCATCTCCCGCCCACAGCGGGCAGCCGCCACTCAGCTGCACAGACCTGCCTGCTCTGGCTCTTTACCAGAGTCCCAACTCCAGAGGTTTTCTGGATTGCTCCTAATTTTTGAAGACCTTTGCGTGGTCCCAATGACAACTCATCTGAAGGTTGAACACATTCTTCGGGCCTCGCGTTTACAACCCTTCCACTGCCCTTTGCTCCTAACCGACCTTTCCGGCCTGACTGCTCCCTCCTCTCCCAAGGACCTCTGTTCTTCACTCTTCCGCACACTATGTACACCCCTAACTCCAAGCTGTGGCCCGTGATACACACCCCACCTGTGTGGCACCATGAGACACCCCAAAGGGTTCTTCCCAGACTTCCTTCCCTATTCCAGAAAGTTGTTCCAAGCCAAACAAGCATGTCCCCTTCTCCTGAGCCCTATGGCTACTTATTTTTCATCTTGGCCTTTCGTCATATCGCCTTGCTCCTTAATTACAGGTGGATCCTATCTCTCCTATCCTTCAATCCCTTCCTCATGCTTCCTTCCACCTCCAGCACAACTAAGGGTAGCTCTGCCCAGGCGCAGCTTTCCTAGATATGAAAATGCTCTATGGCTGTTTTTCCAACTGTGAGTTACAATCCATTACAGGCCGGTTACATCGACTTAGTGGGAAACAAAAAGCATTTTTAAATGAAAAATAATGGAATAGAAAATAAAAGTACCAGAGGAGATTGCAGCAAGCAAAAGAGGTAGTGCTCATGAACTTAAATTAGATTTTTACATACATGATTGAGTATACTAGGTCATGATGTAAATTTTATTTCCTAATGTAGGTCATGGTCGAAACAGTGTAGAAAACAGCGCAGAAAACAGTGCTCTCTAACGAGGAGATTAGCTCCACCAGTGCTTCACGCAATGTTTTTTTTTTTGACAGTCATATATTCTCTAAAAAGAAAAAAATATCTGATGGCTACCCCTCCCCACACGAGTCAGCTTCCCCTGCCAGTTCACTGATCCTGCATCTCAGAGAAACAGGGAGGCTAAGTAACTGCAATTACATTCTCGCTCATTCTGCAACTTTTTGCAATCACCCTTCAAATTCACCAGCCCTTGGATGCTGAAAGTTGAGGCTTAGGGAATTTGTTCAGCAAATCACCCTAAGTCACCCTTGCAATAGGAAGGCAGAATTCAGAGCTCAGGAGAAACCCCAGCTCCCCCTCTGCGGGCTGGTCGCTGGCTTCCTGGGAACTGGCAAGGGCTCTCTCTGGTTAGGAGGGACCTGGCCCTGGGAAAGGCACTATCCCTAGGCCCAAAATCTCCTTCCTCTTTTAGATCATCTTGCTGCCCCTTCATCTTGTTGCTTCCCCCATGCACATCTACAAGGGGACAAAAGCACTAGACTGAAGGTCTCAGTGGAGAGCAAAATTCAACGTCATTTCAAAGCCCAGCAATGTATGTGCTGAGTGAATTCCATTCTACTTCCCTCCAATCTCCAATCCCACCCTCCTGGTTAGCAGAAGAGGTGGCCCATCCTCCTTGGAGCCTCATCTCCTCCGAGTTGCTTTACCAAATTCATGTTCAGGACCAGGTGGTATCTTCTGAATGGCAAGACAGAACACAGCCTTCCAACTCAGACCCCCAGTCCCCCTCACGAGCATCCCCCCACCCCATGACCAAGAAGACACTCCTCGGAGTGCCTTCCCTCCCCGGCTCTGGCAGCCTTTTCCACCCTACACACCCTGGTTTCCCACCAACCTCAGAGCCACAGCTGCTAGCAGGACACCTATGTTTCGACGTCTTGGCAAACACAAGAAACTTCCCTGCAGCCTGAGTGTCAATTACTTCTCTCCAAAACACACATTTCCGATTTCTCAAGTTACCAACTACAGCAGCTCCAAGGCCCTGGCGTGTAATCAATTTCCACAAAGAATTAATTTCCATTCATCTCCTTCCTTCACCCTGCCCCTGTCAACAGATCATTTCAACAGTAATGCTTCTAAAATCCACCCTGTCTTCCATTTCCAGTTACCCCAGTCCAAGCCCTGGACACTCCACAACTGTAACAGCCTACTAACTGATTTGTCTCCTAACATTACTTTTAAAAATCTTTCCAAATACCCTTTCGTTACATCAGTCTCTGGCTCAGAAACCTTTACTATCTCTCCAGTACACACAGGGTAAAATGCAATCCCCCAGTCTGGCTTTCTAGGACGTTCACAACCTCAACCATTGTTCCTCTCTATCTTTATCTCCTACTGTTCAGGAAACATCCCCTGGTCTGGCCAAGGCCATCTCCTTGTCTCTCAGGAAAACTCATGTTCATTTGCACCTCATGGCCCATCTCAAAGGTCTCACGCTCCAGAAATACAGTTCTGGTGATTCCTACCATATTCCTTCTCTGAACGCCAACAGCACCTACTCTACACCTCGCAGTTTGCCAGGTCATTGTGCCCTATCTTGAGGTCCTATTTCCTGTGCTCAAGTCTCTCTGTCCCCCCGCCCCCCGAGGTTATAAACCCTGGAGGGAATCATCTCCTGTATCTTCTGCATCCTCCTCACTGAGGTAACTCCTCCACAGTCCCTTTCTGACCCTCTCACACCGGTTACTTCTTCCTCCCGTGCCTTTGGCCTTTGCCGGTTATCCTTCACGTGCATAACTTATTCCCTAACTTAGGACTCTAAGTCCATTCCCCAACCCTGACCTTGCCTTTGATAGTCGCCCCGTCCCCCAGCATTTGCAGTCACTTACGCAGTCTGTGCACATTAATTTGAACTTGAGCTCTCAAATCACTTCTACCTGGTCAGTAGGCTTTCTGAGGCCTTAGATTTCTTGAGTGTCTTTTATCTCCCAGAGAAACTGGCATGGTGCTGAGAACGCAGCAGCCCCCCAGAGGTACCTGTGGAGTTGAACTTAATTGTTATGTTTCCTGGTGTTTCAAGTTCCCTGAGACCCAGAACCTCTGTTTACACATCTTAGGCCTTCAATACCTGTTGATCACTCACTTCCAGGCAAAATGCACCAAATACACTCTTCTAGAAAAGGGGGTGTAAAGAACGGACCGGTGGCCTGTAGGTAACCCCTGCACCTGGCCGCCTGGCATGAGAACGCCGGCCTGCGAGAAGCGCTCCAAAGCCACTGAGCATTGGCCCAGGCTGCCTGCAATCAAGGAGGCAGCGGGACCCACCTCGCCGCCTGGCAGGTGGGCTTCTTTAGGTTCCTGCGTCCGTCCCAAAGTGAAGGCGCTGAGCCCTGAATTCCCAGGCAGAAAAGAAAATGCTGCCTTTGAGATTGCACATGACAAACTCCCCGTCCAGGCCCCCACCCGGGCACCGCACATGCCCACAGTGCCAGTACTGAGGAGGGTCAGGAGCCGCCGGCGAGGAGAGGCAGGGTGAAGGCGCGCAGAAGCAAGCGGGGGTGGACAGAAGGGCAGAAGGGGACCGAGAGGGTGGGGGCCAGCCCCCGAGGTGGAGGGTGTGTCGCGCCGCGCGTCCCGGAGCGCTGCACTCGCCCGCCCGGCGGCTCGGCGGAGCGGGCAGGAACGCGCGGGGCGCCGGGAGAACTGGGCCGGCGGCCCGGCCGGAAAGGGTCAGGGAGGGGGCAGGTCACCCTCCGGCGGAGAGGCGACTCCCGGCCAGGGCTCAAAGTTGGGGAGGGGATTCCTCGGCGAGCGCAGGCGGCAGGCGAGATAAACAAGGCGGCGCACGGGAGGGCGGGCGCTCACCCTCTCCCGGCCGGCGCGGCCACTGCCGCAGCGCCCCCGCGCCCCTACCGGCCGCTGCCCCGGCGGCGCCCGCCTCCCGGGCCCTCCTGTCGCCGGCCCGGCCCCCACGGGCGTGCGGAGCGTGGGAAGTTCCCGGGCCGCCCCC